GCTTGACATGGCTGCGAAACATAATTTTCGGAGTGGTACAAAACATTGAAATACGGGAGGGAAAGGAAAAGAATATGATACCTCTATCTATCTGCTTGAAAATCTTCCTTTTTTTCTCCAACTCTTCAGGAAGACTTCGTTTCAGCAACTTCGGTAGTGGGGAAAGGTGGGATCCCGCATATGAGCATACATGCAGAAGGCCATAATTTTGCAGATAGGAAATAGCCATTCTATTGCTCTGAAGGGTGGACGGTTGTGTTTGCTTTTAAATTGTATTTCGCACTCGTTCGGTTTCCCAAACCATAATTAGTACAGTGGAATAAATTCCCAGGAGTCAAACCATTAGCGCATGTAATTGCAGGAGACAGAAAGCCAAGCGATAATCGCACTTCCTCAATCAAACTGTGCAAACTGCTTCATAAAGATCTCTCGTTCTCGTTCAATGTTCAATTCGAAAGACTTCCCCAAATAGATATGTCGTATATCTTTCGCCTTGGACGCGGACTTTTCGTCATCTTCTGCAATCTTTAAATACCGTAATCCTTTGTGAGCGTTTCCTTCCTCACGTAAGAGACAGGCCATGATAAGTGCGGATGGACCCCAGCCACCCGTACTAGCAATTTCGAACCAATCAATGGCTTTTTGGCGAAGTTCGCTGTTCGTGTATTGTCCCGAAACCAGATCTTTAGGCGAGGCATCCTGGCCCCTTGACGATGTAAATGACTTATCCCGACCTTTCCCAGAATAGTGCAACTCCAGGTAAAAACTTCCTAGGTCATGACACGCTTCAGCGTTGCAGTCCATAGCGGCTTTTGTCATATATTCTTCATATTTATCCAGTTGGCCCTCGTTACCAACAATCTTTGCAAGATACTGGAAGGCGACAGGATGGTCGAGTAGGAACGCTCCCGCTTCCACGGCCGCTCGACTACCTTCGCTATCTCCTTGAGAACTTTTCACAGCTGCATACATCTCCCAGGCTTGAGGGATACCAAGGACACTGTATGGGTCTTCATCAGTTTCGCCGGCATTTGTCTGATGTGGTATTGAGATCTCCATAGCTTTTTTCCAAAGAGTAAGCGCCTCCTCCGTGCGACGATATCGCTCATGTAAAATGCGTCCGTAGAGCACCATTGCATCAAGAAGATGTCGGTGCGCAAATTCTTCTAGGTAGGCGATCAAAATGGTTCTTTTCAGAGGGGCGCCCGACGTGAATTGCTGGTTAATAATGTAGATAACGGCGAATGGCTCCTTTGACTCTGCTAGTCTATATAACAACCAATTTGCTACGGCTCGGTAATCTGGATGTCGCGAAAGGATAAAAGCAAGTCTAGATAACATGCCCCCATCTATGTGACGGTTAGTAAGAGCTTGACTGAGAGGGAACACCTCATCAGTGAGGAGATCACTGTCACTTTCTTAGGAGTGGCCAATGGTATTCACCTCTACTTTGATCAAATATATCACTCCCATGCATTGTATTACACGTTACTGCGAGTCTTATGAGCGTTCCAGCCAGACTTACAGCGGCATCTATAGAGGATCCCAGTAAGATGCTTGAGAGGGCAGATTCGAATAGAGGACGAGGGATATTAGCAACCAAAGCTTCCGCTTCATCTAAACTCAAGCGGATAGAGCCAAAAGCCGACTGATATCGAGATTCTCTCCTGCGATCGCTCATTGCTTTCCAGGTCGAAGGTGCCCTGGCGGCAGTGTGGGGAGCCGAGAAATGATATTGTTTTGCGGGAGGTCTTAAGGCATGGGATGTGAACCACAGAGGCCGTAGCCTCACACATCGTACAGTGAACATTGCCTCCGGGTTAAATAAAGGCGAGGACGATCTAAGGGACGGCAAACGAAATATGCTCTTTGCCCCGAGGTCAAATAATGCTCAATCCTCAACTAAAACGTGCAGCGTCAAAAAAAAAAAAAGAAAATTGAGGTTGCAACGAGCGGTTACACGTTTAGTAAGCAGGTACACAGGGCTATATAGTCATTTGGAATTTTCCATTCAATTGGTGTTTAAATATTCAGTATGCGGGTCTGGTTTATCCTAGTTCCTGCAAAATAATGCTTGACATGACTTAATGTAGCTCAAGTGAAGAAAAAAACTTTCTTCACAGACGACGGTCAACCCTGGACCTCCGCCCAGCCAAGAAAGCCGCATAGTAGATGGCGATGAACTGTCTGATCAACCATAGACAGAAAATTGTCGAGAACAGAATAACGAGATATATCTCATAACCAAAGTAATGATGTATAATACATTTCCCCCACGTTCCTGTACATACAGAACTACCAACCAGAGCACCCACTGTTCTGCATCCACAGTCGTCCAATGTAATGTTCTATTCCCATTCCGCTTAAACTCCAGGAAATAGAAGACGGAGAAAAAGAAATTGAGAAAAAGCTGAATCATTCCATGACAACCTTAGCCCCTAGATCCTTCATAGTCTTGACAATCTTTTCGGCCTCTTCCTTAGGTACAGATTCCTTCATCAGTTTCGGGGCGCCCTCCACAAATTTCTTGCTGTCAACCAAGCTCAAGCTGAGAAGTGATTTAATCTCCTTGATGACCTTGGGTTTCGAGGCAGCGTCGAACGACTCCAATTTCAAATTAAACAATGTTTTCTCCTGAGCGGCAGGGGCAGCCTCCTCTTCTTCCACGGCGGCAGCTGGGGCAGCGCCACCAGCCGCTGGACCGGCTGCGAAACCGCCAATGGGTAGATCAGGAATGTTAAGACGAGACTTGATACCGGAGAATCGGAGGTTAGCTACAGCACTGCCAACAGACTTCATTGAAAGAATCTCATCAAGAACGAGCCAATGTGCGTGTACATGACATAACTGTTAAAGCCTTTATTTCCAAATATGTATACACACCGGCAAAGAAATGGGGAATAAAAGGAAAACGAAGCACCAATGAACATTCAAAGGGGAAAAAAGCATCAATTTTCCAACCTTCAAGCTCGAAACCAAGTCAGCAGTTTCCAACAGTGTCAATTGACTTATTTGGTCCACAATCTGTGTGATTTTAGGGTTTGTAGGAGCCGCCGTCGGCGCCTCGGTGGACTGCCATCGCCTTGTTCCGACCGCAGCTGGGGTTGTTCGTTTGCATTGGGGAAAGCATGTAGACGGGGAGAAACGGAGAGACGGGGACTGGCGAAGGAGGGTGCGACAGGATCGAGCTGCCGCCTGTGAAGGAATTGACATGGCTGACGAGGCGCAAGATATATGACAGGAACAGCTTGTATCACAGAGAGGACAGCGGAGGGGGCCACGGAGGAATATGTCGAGGGAATTGAGCTGATGTGCCGCCTGTGGTGCTGCTGGTTCTTTTGCTGGCGTCAAGCAATGCTTGAGTTTCGGTGATTGAAGTTTGAAAATTCCCATGTCTGAAGAACACGTGAGCGTAACTTTACAGACGATTACCGGTAAATTCGTTGTTATGATACATTATCCGATAGGTTCCTCCGAATCCGATACATCCACCTTTTTCTTGGACAACAAATGACAATCTCCATCTTGCGGGACTCCTCACCACGTAACAACAGAAGAGAATATCAACGGCCTCACTCAAAGTGGAGGGAAAGGGAGCAACTTTCTCTCAGCCCGGCTCATATGGATCTATACTTCTCTGTCGTGGAGAAACGGCTTGCCACTTCTATCGCATTCGTCTGGGTCTTCTATCGTTTCGGCATGGCGGTGGTCAAACTTCTCCGCAAATATCTCAATCGGTCAGCCGCGCGACGACGGCAGGTCCACCGCAGCTCTCGAGTAGCCCAAGATTCACAGACTACGGAAACAAGTAATGCGAATGCAGGCCAAACCTGAGCCCATTACTAGGCCAGAATTTCAATAACCAGCACAAGTGCTTTTGGATATCAACACAAGTGTTACATAGAGATTCTGGCTTTCGTTGAATTTGATGTGCGCATTTCGGAAACATATTCCAAGAATGGTGCTTCATTTAGGAGCTTTATGGAGAGGGATGGCTACGGGTGAATTGCTTACACTTTGCTTCTACGACCAAAATAGTTTCGGCTGTTTGTACCTTTACGTTTCGACGAACAACGAACGAAATGCATATCAATATGATGTTGAACATCCCCAATCCATGTTCTTGCCATTCCATGCGTCGACAGTTGCATGCATTGTTTCGAAATCCGTCCAACAGCAATACGCCTGTGGTAAGCTCTCCGACAAACAAACTCCATATCCACCGAATATCAGGGACAAATCCTCAATATTCCACATTAGAGTATGCGTGGGAACAATACGACAATGCACAACGTGGGCGACCAAGCTTGAATGGTTCATCGCGCAGGGTGGAGAGGCTGGAGAAAACTACAACATCAATTTCTCCTCCGCCCTCACATTTACATATCGTCAGCTTGTGCTTTCAAATGGAACCGTTAATGTGGCATGGATTGTGTCAGCACAAAAACTGTTGAGAGCGTGCGTTTACTGATATCTCTGTTATACCATCTTCCTGTTTTTTGGCTCACACCCTTTACAAATTTCGATGACTATGATACCCCTATTTCTTTTTACTTTTGCTTCCTGGTACACTTGTCGCGCCTCTTATTTGTGCATTGTGACCCTGGTCCTATTCCGTTCTTCACATTTCACGCTCTTAAACGTCATTTGGTGCAAACGCGTCCATACCTATGTGCTCCCAAACATCGCTTGATCAGATACTCCATTTATACAGTTTGGCGGCTTCAAAATTTGCAAAATGAAGCATCATTAGATAATTACATAGATAGCTTCTAAATATTGGAACGTTGCAATTTTCACCGCTTTCCGGATGAGGTGATCGAGACACGGGATTCAGTTCAGTTTTGAGACTTGCAATCAGCTGCGATAGGTGCTGATGAGAATAGGAATCTTGATTTCATGTCGGTGGGCGAGAAAATCTATCTCATTTATAGCAAAAAGGACAGTAATCCTCTACCCTAAGCTTCCTTCAGTTTCCCCGATTTATTAGCATGAACATGCGGATAATAAGTAAACGGCCGGCTCAGCACCAGCGGAAATCTTGATAGTCATTTTCCATTTCCAATCCACAGGTTTCAAGAAAAGACGAACAAAATAATACAGGGAAAAAGGCAAGAGAGAATTTTCTTTCATTCAAATTAATGTGGAAAATGCCAAAAAAAGAAATTCGCCCATTTCATTTTTTTTTTTTAATTCTCCCCTCTCATTCTTTCCCGGTCACCATGCATATCAGAACAACAGCACGAACAACAACATCAACGTAAACCACTACTTCTTATCATTATCATCAAGTCAAACGCCTCAATCCTCATCCCAATTAGGGTTCTGTCCCGGCGGCTTCGGCCCGCCCGCCTGTCGCGCCACAATAATCTGATCAACCGACAACACCGTCCGCGAGGCCTCCGTCGCCAATCTGATAGCCCATGCCTTCGACACGAGCAAGTCAAGGATTCCATCATCGACTGCATTGACGGTTCCCGCTGAGGAGAATGTATGTAAATCAACGCCCGTTGTCCAATATGGCTCCTCCTCCGAGGATGAGGAGGCATTCTCGGAAGATTCTTCCTCATCTTCCTCATCTTCCTCCTCCTCGTCGTCGTCGTCATCGTCGTCGTCATCATTGGGTTGC